CTCGGGGGGGGGGGGTCATACCAGTGAACATCGGTCAAACCGATTTTCTATGGCACTGTCAGGCTCTAACCAACAAGCGTGCCACCAAACAGATACTGTTTCCACGATTATCGATTTCAACATACTTCCATTCGAGACGCAGGGAAAGAATACCCATGAGATGAATAACAAATTGAACACTGACAAAGCCTCAACCATCTGTATCATACACACACAAATTAGAATATCATTATTCCTGGTCAAGTCTCGGTTCAGATGCTCGATATCGATATATTGTTTTCAATAATTTTGGTAACATTCACTGGAACTGTTGAACCGTGTTCCAATTTTCAACAGAGTCTGTGCAAAGGCAGCATACACTCGGGTAATTTCACATTTTGATGAGAACTCTAAATTGTCCCGTGATCTTTGACTTTCTATGCTCGTTTTTTTTGTGACGTAATTAGTTAGGGAAATGGGAGGATATNTTGGCACCAATGTGGAAAATCCTCTCGGAACTAACGTACATCAGAATCGGAATTAAAATAGTTCATGACATGGGAGCAAGAAGTTGACATAACACGGCGAGGGAAATGGAAAAAAAATTAGTCTCATCAAATATTTCTCAGAATCTCATAACGAGCTCGGGTTGCGGGTGTCGGTGTTGGAGGGTTCTCCAAGATGGAAATGCTATTCGCAGACTTTCTGAGCCCAGGCTAGGTAATATCATCAGTCCGACTTCCGGGAAGCAATAGTCCTCAAAGCGTCTGAGCTTATATACTTTTCGATAGGCTGTTTGCGGCCATTTAACCCAATTGGTNAGTTGCTATTGGGTATTTTTTGTCAGGGTGATCTACTCCCTCTTCCTCATTGGTCAGTTGGCTGTCTTGATTCCACTTCAAACCAGTTTCACCCGGAGGCGCACTGATGATGTTGTTTAGCCTGGACACGAAATGTATGCAGACAACAACTCCAGCTCAGAGAAGCCCACAACATCAACAAAGTTTGTGAGTTCCATCAAGGTTAGGGATACGATTTCGAATCGACTGAAGTCACCCTCTACAAAACGGAGGGGTGTCATTATGTTGTATTTAGGAACAGGTACAAATACGACAGAATTACGAAACATTTACTCTGATGAACACGTTGAACATATTTAAATATTATCCAAAACGATAGACCTACAGTTACTCAAGAATCTAGGCTTACATGGAATAATAGAAATCGTGTTGGCAAGAAGGGAGTGTGTGAGTAACAGCTTGATAGTATTACATCAATGATCATGGATATCGAGGACGAGTAGGTGATGTGAAACAGGTTTGTCTATTCGATGAAACGTGAAAACATGTAATTGGATAACAGCATCCTGTAGTCGGGTTTCCTGAAGAAAAGTTGTAGCCAGTCGGTAATATTGTTACCTCCGTATCAACTCACATGAATCCACGCAGCTAATCAACACAAATATTTGACGGTGGTCAAGTGGTTAAGGTCGTCATCTCGCCGACCCCGCAGTTTGAATCCCACTACCACCGTCCAAATTTTCCCCTTCTATGTGCCCCCAGGCAGCGTACACACGGTTGCGAACCAGTCTTCTCGAAAGTTGTTCGTACAATTGTGTATTCGATGAAAGGAATAATAATATTACCATTATTGTTGTTATTGTCTTCCATTCTTCCTCTAGCGCTCTTGAAATTTTCGGAGAATTTGTTTCTATTTGTTTCACCTTTTGCTTTCACTACGTGACTTCTCGCAAAATTTACCCGGCGGATCGTCTTAGCGTGCAACAAACTTTAAAAAAACATAGCTAGGTAAAACAGTCTACTGATATTAAATAGAGCTAACGATTGCAAACACCCCGAAACTAATAATCCCTCCAAATGCGTATTTATGAAGCGTCTATTTCCGTGAATCGTCAAAGCATATCTCAAATAGTTTCTGTTACGTACCTTGGTAAAATTTTGCCCCACAATCCCTCCTGATCTCCTCAATTTGAGAATATTTTTCAAAAATACCAAGATTGGCTTGTAACTAACGCAGAATAAAGGATTATCTTTGAATTCGTGACTGTTTGCATTCTAACCACTGACGTTGTATTGGTTTCCTATGTTTCCTGGGACTAAAACCTATGCATCGTACTCCGTTATCTAAGAAAATGCAATCATGCTTCCCTGGGGTTTCCTCTCGACGGTGGGAGAAGCCTTCGCACTTCATTGGACAGCTACCGCCCGACCAAGC